GCTCAGTTGTTTTTCCAATGAGATAGTTCACATTTTCTTCTATTTTTAAAAAATTCTTTTGACTTTGTTGTATTATTTCTTAATGCCTCATAGAGTCATTAGCTTCCACTTGCCTGATTCTAATTTTTAAGGAATTATTTTCTTCAATGAGAGTTTGTACCTCCCTTTCCATTTGACCAATTCTGTTTTTAAGGTATTATTTTCTTCAGTATTTTTTGGTGCCTGTTTTACGAACTGTTAGTTCTCTTTTCATAATTTTCTCGCATTACTCTCATTTCTTTTCCCAATTTTTCCTCTATCACCCTTATCACCTTCTTTAGCTCTAATGGAATTCTTGTTGGTTGGGGTCCAATTAGCATTTTTCTTGGAAGCTTTGCTTGTAGCTGTTTTCACACTGTTTTTCCTTCTGATTGATCTTCTCTGTCATGGTACTAGCTTTTTATGGTCAAATTCTTTTTTGTTGTTGTTATTGTTTGCTCATTTTCAAGCCTATTTCTTTACTTTGAACTTTATGTTAAAGTTGGGCTTTGCTTACCTGAGGGTAGGGAGGCACTGTCCCAAGTTTCAGGTTTTTTCATGTTGCTGTTTTCAGAGCTAGTTCTGGGGGTTTTTAAGTTTTCTGAGCTTCCAAGGGGGTGTGTTCCTGAAAGAGGTGTGGTCACTGCTCTCCTTGTCCGTGCTCTTTTCTTTACCCAAGAAGGGCCTCGGTTCTCTGCACCCATAAGTGTCCTGGAGCTTGTTCCTTGACCCTGGAGCTATGCCCAAGGTCCTTATTCCCTTGTGACCAACCCTCAGTGCTCCTCTCTGCCCTGGAACTGTGTTCTGGGTCACAGTTCTGGCCCAATCAGCACCAGCTATATCCAGTGCCAGAAAAGGATCCCCTGCAATCTCTTTCTGACCCAACCCCTTAATGACTCTGGACTGAGAACTTTTGAAGCTGTTTCAGCTGCTGTGACTGCTGTTGCCTTGGCAGTGTGTGTGGTCTCTAGACAGGCCTCCACCCTGGTGTCACACACTTCTCCTGCTGATCTGTTATGTTTGCTAAGGTCAGAAGAATTTCTCACCCCAGCTTTTTGTTGACTCTGATGCTCCAAAAGTTGGTTTGAGGCATTATTTAAGTTGTTTAAAGAGGAACATTAGGAGTGGTCATCTGGTTGGCTGTCATATTCTAACATCCTCTAGTATGAGAACAGGAGTTGAGGATGAAAGAAAGACTGAACTCACTGAGGAAAGGAGAGTGTCCTATCAGCAGATAACCACCCATCTCTTTAATTATTCTTCCCCAACACTTTTCAAGATTATTTCAGCTCTGTCCATCAGATACTTGCACTAGAACTCCCATTTACTACTTTGGTCTTAAAGCTCAGGCTCAAAGCATCATTGATCACATTTGTCATAGTTGTCAGCAGACAGCTGAAATTCTTTGGCCAACAAAAGATGTATGGTGTCGACAAATTTGACAAGTTAACTGTTCTTTGTGTATACATAGTTATATCCTAAATACAGTCCTGGGGACCTTCTTCAGAAAGTTGGGAAGACACTGGCTGTTCTATATTTCATAAAGAAATCACAGTCAAGAAACAATAAGAGAAATCCAAATGAGGCCCAAGATAAAGTCTCAAAGTTCCACTTGTTGAGAGTTGGAGGATCATTCAAAAAAACACTTAACTGGGAGAAGCTCGGCAGCACAGTGGATAGAGCACTAGCCCTGGAGTTAGGAGGACATGCATTCAAATCCAGCCTCAGACACTTACTGGCTGCATGACCCTGGGCAAGTCACCTAACCCCAACTGCCTCAAAAAAAACACTTAACCGTAGCTCAGCGGTCCCCAGGGGGATATGTTAACCCCTGAGAGTTTATAAAAGAAACCTCTCAGAGCCATCTCCCAGCCCAAATACAACAATTGTATACAGAAGCACACATGGAAATACCCAGGTCTGGGTCAACCACAGATGCTTATGAGAAGTAAAACTAGGTCAGTTAAAAAACAATTTATAGCAGAATAAGGAACCACACTTAAAAGTGGACCCTGACAAAGGAGGGAAAAGTGAGGGGCATAAAGTCAATTCCATTTCTCCACATTCACTGCAAGGCAACTGAATGAGGGCAGAGCTTTAGCCACATAAACAAGTCAACACAGCTAATCAGAAAAATCTGGATATCTCTTTGGTAACTTCCACTGTCATCAATTCTCCCTGTAGAACTGGCGCTGCTGCTGTTCCACTCTCTACTACTTTCAGTTATTTCTCCACCATCCCTGCTGCCCCCATTCTTCCAACTGCACTTGTTCCAACCTCCCACGGGGCTGGTCTCGCCATACACACGCTCTCTTGTCTACATAGATTTGTTCTATCTTTGGAGATTTGAATTCCCATTTCCCAGGAGCTATACATAGGTTCAGGGGTGGGGAATCTGCAGCCTCAAGGCCACATGTGGTCTTCTAGGTTCTCAGGTGAGGCCTTTTGACTGAGTCCAAGCTTTACAGAACAAATCCTTCTATTAAGGGGATTTGTTCTGTGAAGTTTGGATTCAGTCAAAGGGCTGCACTTGAGGACCTAGAGGGCCACATGTGGCCTTGAGGCTGCAGGTTCCCCATCCCTGCATTAGTCCCTGAAGCCTGGTCCTGCTTATGAAGAATTTACTGGGAGATGACAGATGGATAGATAGATAGATAGACAGACAGACAGATGTGTAGGTGGATCGATAGAAGATAGATAATAAATTGATGGATAGGTAGATAGGGAGGTTTGTGTATAGATGGATAGATAGATGATAGATGGATAGACGGATGGAGAGATACATAGATATGCAGGTATGTGACTAAATAGACATTGTCTTATGTATATTCCTATTATGTCCCAATAGGTTATGTACATTCTTTCCATTATGTGCATCCATATTATCTTCCAAAGTAGAGACTATTTCACTTTTGTTTTTGTGTCCCTAGTTTCATAATGAGGACTTAAGAAATACTTATTGATCGATTGATTGTGTGCATTTGCGTCTACATTGACTCCATAGGGTCAATTAGAGGACTGGCCTCTCAAACTGTAGGGGAAGTAAGGGAGAGCAGGGGCCTGGTACACTTAACTTGAATTGGGGATTGTTTGTTGGGGGGAAGGAAACCTCTTGACAATCCAAGTGTGGCTGGTGAAAGAAGCCACAAGTCAAGGTGTTATGAACTATTGAGTCAGCAGGCCCAGTGTGAAGGTAGAGTCTCGGCTGCCCAGGAAGTGAGAGACTGAGGGACACAGAATGAGTGGCCTGTTTGTTAGGTAGATAACAAGAACTATTCTGTCTGAGGCCTGCCTGGGTGGCAGGGGCTCCCCCACTGAGTCATCTTCTGGGTAGACTGCTTTGCTTGAGTGAATGGATCCGTGGATGAAGGAATGAAGCATTTGGTGCTTACAGGGCTCAAAGCGTTGAGCTTGTGTCTACCTTTCACTCAAGAACTTTCAGCAGTTCCTAATCCTGGCATTCCTGGCTTCTTTCAAGTCCTAGCTAAAATCCTACACTCTACAGGGAGCCTTTCCCAATCCCCCTAAATTCTACTGCCTTCCCTCTGTAACTATCTCTAATTTACCATATATAAAATCCCACCTTCTACTGGTGAGAATATATATACATACATATATACACACATATATTTGTAGACAAAAGATGTAGATAGACAGATATTCACAGAGAGATGGAAAGGCTTCCTGTAGAAGGTGGAATTTTATATATGGTAAATTAGAGATAATATACATACACACACATAGACACACACACACACATATGTGTGTGTATATATATATATATATATATATATATATATATATAAAATAAGTAGATAGATAGAGCAACCTAGGTGGCCTGGTCGATAGAGCCCTGGGCCCAAAGTCAGGAAGACTCATCTTCCTGAGTTCATATTTGGCCTCAGACACTTACTAGCCGGGTGATCCTGGGCAAGTCACTTAACTGTTTGCCTCAGTCTCCTCATCTATAAAATGAATTGGAGAAGGAAATAGCAAACCATTCCAGTATCTTTGGCCAAGAAAACTCCAAATGGGATCACAAAGAGTGAGACATGACTGAAACACAACAATAACAAATTATATGTGTGCATATACATGTATATGTGTGTATATATATATATATATATATACACCCATACATATATACATAAATTACACACACATCTCTCTCTCTCTGTCTCTCTGTCTCTCTGTCTCTCTCTCTCTCTCTCTCTCTCTCTCTATATATATATATATATATTTGTTTACATGTTGTCTCCCACACAGATTATAAGCTCCTTGAGGCCAAGGACTATTTTGCCTTTCCTTATATCCATAGTGTTTAGCATAGTGGCTGATGCATAGTATGCATTTAATAAATTGACTTATTGATTTAACTTATATGCATTTAAAAGTTTGCAAAGCACTTTCCACACATTATTTCATATAAGCCTATAACACCCTATAATCTTTCTCCCTTTTAATTCCCTGTTCTTTTTTCTCCCTCTCTCCCCAACTCCATTTCCCTTCTCTGCCTTTCTTTCTCACATATCCTTTCCATAACTTCTACCATCTCAGATATGGTCCTTCTTCCCTCCTCTCCCCTCCATAGTCAAAGAGGTCAGATGTGGGAGTAGGCAAGATAGGAAAAAACAGATTAGAATGGAGATGGGAAGGAATTAGCAAATAACTTATTTCATCAAACGGCCATCTTGTTGGCCCAGATACCAAATAAACCATTATTTGTTTGCAAAACAAAGGGCCAACTTTAGCCTCCCAGTCTTCACCACAGTTTCCATTGACATCTCCCTCTCACACATTCCTGAGGCTTTGGGGCCATGCGGTCACAGCAATGGACCAGTCATCTCCATTTGTGGCTACTTGCCTAGCTCAGCATCCGTCTCACTTGGCACAGGCACATTATGTCATCTTTCTGTGTCAGAAGTTTTCAAAAATAGAAGAGAGTAGCATATCCTCAATGTGAATTAATACTATGTACTTACTCATCATTTGATGATAGAAATGAGGGATCCATAGGCTCCATCTTTCCCTTCTGTGCTGTGGGTCTGTAAATCTATTTTAATTCTCAGGTCCTACTTCTCACTCATGTGGTATGAATGCCATCAATCTTAAATGCCAAGAGGAAACAGAAAAAGCCAAATACTTCTTGTTTCTGTTTTATTTGACAAACTGTTCCCTGTCTCCAGCACTAAAAACCTTGTTTTAACTTTCACTTTATAAATGGAACTCTTTGTTTAAATTTTTATTTTTCTTATTCTAAATTAAATAAACACCAAATAAAGTGGGCATTTTCAGATGCATGATAGAACAGAAGAGGATTGTACATGACACTAGTCTCTCTATAAAAGATTTTTTCTTTGTAAGTATACAGAATGCCCCCCAAAGTTTTAGTGCTTTAGTGGCTTAAAGCAAAAATTCGACATGAAACTTTCAAAGTTGACCAGCTTGTCTGTGACTCCTTCTGATCTTTCTTACGTTCTTTTCTGTACTTTAAAAAATTGCTTCAATGGTTCTCTTTTCTTTTCTTTTCTTTGCTTTGCTTTTTTCTTGGAGGGTGGGAAGGAAGCAATCTGTTGCTTAGCCCCTCCTCTCTCTCTCACTTCCTCCTCCAAAAATGGGGTAGGGGGAGAAAAACAAAATCTTTATAACAGATATGGATAGTCAAGTAAAACAAACTCCCACATTGGGCATATCCAAAAAATGTATGTGTCTTTAATTATCTTGAGGCTATCACCTTTCTGTTAAGAGGGAGACAGTAACATGCTTCATAATCATTCTTCTGGAATCATGGTCACTGTACTGGTTAAAATTCTTCATCCTTCCAAAGTTTTTTTTTCCTTTATAATGTTATTGTTACTCTATAAATTGTTTTCCTGGTAGTACTCACTTCACTCTGCATCAATTCACACAAGTCTTCCTTGATTTTGTCATTTCTAACAGTGCAATAATATTTCATTCCATTCATAATCTGTTCACTCATTCCCCCAACTGATGGGCATTCCTCCTCTTGGTTTCTAGTTCCTACTCATAACAGAGAGAATTAATATTTATTCCTTTTTCTTTGATGTCTTTGAGATAAAGACCAGGTAGTGGTATCATGGTATCAAAGAGTATCCGAAGTTTAGTTAATTTTCTTTCAAATTTTTTTCCAGAATCATTGTACCAATTCACAGCTCCACTAAATACTGCATTTTTATGCCTGTTTTTCCTCAGCCTCTCCAACAAATTCCATTTTCCTTTCTTGTAAATTTTGCCAATCTGACAGGGATAAGGTAGAACCTCAGCATTGCATTAATTTTAATTTCTCTAATTATTCGCTATGATTAGAACTTGTTTGATTTCCACTTATTATACAAGTTCTTGGGGAGAGGGAGGGAAAGGGAATAACAGGAAAGGAAGAAGAGGAGAGAGGCAAAAAGAGACAGAAGGGAGAGAGAGACAGAGACAGAGAGACAGAGAGAGAGAGAGAGAGAGAGAGAGAGAGAGAGAGAGAGAGAGAGAATGCAGAGGGGAGAGAGAAAGTAAGAGAGAGAGATTTCCAGATTTTGTTACCAGGTGTTTGGAGGCAGGATACTTACAGCTGAATCCGTGGTCTGCTACTTCCTAGTTGTGTGACCTTAGACATTTCATTTCACCTTTCTGGGTCTCAGTTTCCTTAACAATAAAATAAGTGAGTTGGACTGGATAAAAGTCTAAAGCCTTTTCCCACTCTAAATCAATCAATTCATTAATCAAGCATTCACTAAGTGTCTTCTGTTTGCCAGACCCTATGCTAGGCACATAAATCTTATAAGGAAAGATCTTCCATGTCCCCTGTATGACTCTAAACATTGGGCTATAAGCCAGAGTGTGGTTATCTATGTTGACCTGAGAATTTAGTCAGTTCTCAGGAAAAGATGTGCTCTGGGAACCTGGCCAGTTCATCAGAACATATCAAGTTAATTAATATTTTAAGATGTTTTGCTTGTTCCAGGAACTTGGCCAGTTCCTGGACCAAGTGAAAACATCTACTAGAATCATGGACATCTCTGGCATGGGGCCTTCTTTATTAGAGGTCTTATTTAAATCCTAATTCGGAAAGCCATTTTTGGATTCTCATCCATGGAGAGGATGCTTTGCCTGGGACTTTCCCAATCGGGACCCTGAAAGCTGTACCCCGATAATCCCCAGCTTGGACTTCAGGTGTTAGTGCTTCCCCAAATTGGTGATGTTTTCTTATAATTATTGCTATCCTTTGTATTTTTAGCCTAACTATAGTTGTATTGCTAATTGCATGTTGCTGTAAATCTAGCTTTTCTATACCTGTATGATAATCTTAATTAAAGCTACCTTCACTTCTCTCTCTAGGAGTGTGTCTTATTGTAGGAGCAAATCTGAACCACATTTTTCTTCCTTAATCACACAAATTGGCATCACGAACAGGATTCACTGTACATTATGCCATTCCTAAAGAGAAATTCCAGGACTAAGATTAAAGATCAGGACATTCCCAATTGGGAAGATTTACCTTATGACTCTCTGGCTAAAGAATGGGCCAATGGGACAAGCCCCTATGAGTATTGGGGTAGCCGGACTAAACAAGCAGAACCTTTACAAGTGACAAATTGCTTACAAAATATTCCTATTGAGAAAGGCAAAGAGATGGTGGGGGTGTGTAGAAGAGAATAGGCTTTGCTGGCTGAGTATGGCAAAATGTATAAACTAAGAAATAAAGCTGTTGAGGCTAAAATGATCCTAGAAAAGAAATTAGCTGAATTACAAAGTAAAATGTCTATGCTTCAGTGTCAGAACTTTATATTAAGAGACCAAGTGAAAAATTACCAAAGCGTTGCTGAAAAAGCTGCAGTTAGAATGGCACAATTTAAGTATAAGAAAAGGAAGGGGAAAATTAATAAAAAGAAAGTGCATGCAGTTATTGCCAGTGCTACTGTGAACTGGGACCCAGACAGATGGGATGGAGATATATGGGATGATACTGATGAGGAGATTACTTTGGATGAAGAAGCGTGGAAGGAACATGAGGAGAAATGCCCTGATGATGGGGTATCTGCTAGGCCTATCAGGAGACAAAAGGAGGAAAATCAGGGAGGAAATCAGGTTTTTAAAGAGGTAACAGGATTTTACCCAACAAGAAATTATAGATATCATTGCCTGTTTTTCTCACAAACCCTTGATTTCATGGGTGGTACAAATCAGTGATAGTGGAACTGGAGGGGTTTGGATAGACATTGTAGACTGTGTGAAGTTTGTATCTCTGAGCACCAAGTCTTTCGTCCAACAAGCTATTAAAGAGCATGCCACTACTGCCCATGTTGCTGGTAATAATACTTTATTGGCATTGGTGGCTGAGGGATTCCAAAAGCAATACCCTGCTGACTCCATGTGGCCTTGGGGGGATTGCCCATGGTATTCCTTAAAAAATGGGATACAAAAATTAAAGGAGGAGGTGATGAAAACTGCCAGAGAGGCAGATTCCCATTATCTCTGCCCAGTGTCGGAACCCCAAAGAAATACTTTAGTTAAGGCAGTGCCGCCTGCATACAAGAATTTAATTATGACTCTGCTTTTAAGCGAGTCAGGGAAACCTTTGTCTGAAGTTTTAGAGTCTCAATTAGGAGATTTGGAAGACTGGGACTGTCAAGAGAGGAAGTCAGATTGGAACCAGAGCAGTAATCAAAATCGAAGGGATACATGAAGAAATAACCAAATGTCTAGAAAGGATTTATTTACTGCCCTTCTTTGGGCAGGGGTGGATAAGGAGAAGATTGTTGAATTGTCTCCCAGTGAACTCTATCGGATGTATAAAGATCAGAAAAGGGGAGAAAGTAAGAACAGGGAGGCTAGGATAATGCCTTCTACTCCTCCTACATTGTATCCATCTTTGGAACGTTTTAAGGAGGACTATGATGGTGACCAAGCCTCGGTAGATGTAAAGGAAGTTAGAAGACAAGATTACAGACCACATATTGGAATTACTATATAATGGAAAAATGGTTCTACTACTGCAGCTAAAGCCCTTATAGATACCAGGCTGAGGCCTCCCTTATTTCTGGTAACCCTGATAAGTACAAACAAGGAACTCCTATTACTACCACAGGTGTAGGCGGAAGAGAGATACTTGCTAAGCAGGTAAAAGTCATGATGAAAACTGAACAATTACCTACCCTGTATTGATAGGAAAGGTACATATGACCCCAGTCACCCTGCCTCAACCCACCAAAGTGATTACATTAAAACAATATAGGATTCCTGAAGGGTAGGAAGAGATTACCTCCACTATAAAAGACCATGTAGAAGCTGGAGTATTGGTTCCTACCACAACAGAGTGGAGCAACCCAGTATGGCTGGTTAGAAAGTCTGATTGGTCACAGAGAATGACAGTTGACTATAGACAAATAAAGTAACACCACCTTTGTTTGCTGCAGTCCCAGATACTATTATGCTTATAGAAAAGATACAATCCTTTATAGGCCATTGGTATGCAGTGGTTGACTTGGCGAATGCCTTCTTCACTATACCTACTGATGCTGCTCAGTGGGATCAGTTTGCATTCACTCGGCAAGGGCAACAATACACCTTTACCAGATTGCCTGAGGAGTATTTGCATAGCCCTACCATTTGTCACCATATTGGAGCTGAACATCTGGATGAGCTAAAATTTTCAAACATCCAAGTTACACATTTCATTGATGATATCATGTTACAAGGGACAGAAGAGATCGCTGTAGAACAAGCTTTACAGATGCTGCTCAGTCATATGAGAAAAAAAGGGTGGGAAATAAACTTTGCTAAGATACAGGAGCCTGCTCAGTCTGTGAAGTTTTGGGGAATTTTTTGGAATAGGGGTCATAGAGAAATACTACCAAAGATTAAACAGAAAATATTGGATTTTGTAACCCCCTCTAACAAAAAGGAGGCTCAGAAGTTTATTGGATTGTTTGGATATTGGAGGGCCCATATACCTTGCCTTGGGCAGATTTTACATCCCCTGTATAAAGTTACCAGGAAAAAGTATGAGCTTCCTGGGGGCCAGAGGAGAGTAAGGCCTTCGAGGAAGCTAAAGTTGTAATACAGACAGC